CGGCCTCCCAAAGTGCTGGGGTTACAGGTGTGAGTCACCGCGCCTGGCTTATTAATCACTATTACATTGATTGTATGTTGAAATGATATTTTGAGTATACTGAGTTTTGTAACAGCATTAAAATTGATTTCACTTATTTCTTTTTCTTTTTTGAAATGTGGCTATTCAAAAATTTAAAGTATAGCTTGAATTCTGTTTCTGGCCAACAACACTAATTTAGGAAAGCCAAGTGGGGCTTGGTGGTGCACACCTGTAATCCTTGCTACTCTGGAGGCCGAGGTGGAGGATCACTTCAGGTCAGGAGTCTGAGATCAAGTTGGGCAACGTAAAGAGACCCCTCTCTGAAAGAAAAGAAAAACAAAAAGAAAAGAAAAGGCTAGCTTTCTGGGCTGGGTGCGGTGGCTCACACCTGTAATCCCAGCACTTTGGAAGGCAGAGGTGGGTGACACATGAGGCCAGGAGTTCGAGACCAGCCTGGCCAACATGGTGAAACCTCATCTCTACTAAGAAATTTAAAAATTAGTTGGGCATGCTAGTGTGCACCTGTAATCCCAGCTACTCAGGAGACTGAGGCCGGAGAATCACTTGAATCCAAGAGGCGGAAGTTGCAGTGAGCCACGATCACGCCATTGCACTCCAGCCTAGGTAAAAGAGCTAGACTCCATCTCAAAAAATAAAAGAAAAAGAAAGAAAGAAAAAGAATACCTAGGCTTCTGAGAGGATTTCCTTCCCCTCCCTTATCAGATACTCCCTAGAAGAGTGAAGCTCCCCAGCCTGTTATGGGTTGGAGCAGAGATGGGTACTGTGAGAGTGGTGGTGGTGGTGGTGGTGATGGGTAAGAGCAATGCCTATGGAATACCCTGGCTGGGTACAGGGGCTCATGTCTGTAATCCCAGCAATTTGGGAGGCCGAGGCAGGTGGATCACTTCCTGAGGTCAGGAGTTCTAGACCAGCCTGGCCAACATAGCAAAACCCTGTCTCTACTAAAATATATATATATATATATATATACATATAAAAGCCACCTTGCCTGGCTAAAAAAGTACAAAAAATTAGCTAAGCATGGTGGTGAGCGAGTGTGATCCCAGGTACTTGGGAGTCTGAGGCAGAAGAATTGCTTGAACCCGGGAAACAGAGGTTATAGTGAGCTGAGATCGTGCCATTGCACTCCAGCCTGAGTGACAGAGCAAGACTCCATCTCAAAAAAAAAAAAAAAAAAAAAAGATAAAAGAAAATCCTGGCTGACAAACAGGAATTACCCAAAGGGTGGCATCAGCATCAGTTTCAGGGTGCCCTTGAAGTTTGCTTCCATAACATAGATAACACTATGGCTACTGTAAAATTATTACTCAGTGCAATAATTACCCATTTTAAAAACAATACATCTCATTTTATTTGGTACATTTAAAAAAGCAGGACAACCTGACCTTCCAATTATGTTAAACGATCTTAAAGATTTGCAACTCTGCAGCTTGACTATTTTCTTCTCAAGCACTTCAAATTCCTAGTGAATAAGCCAATTTCTCCCAAGTCCTTCAGCAATTCCCACCTGACAGCCAACACTGATTGGACACTTTACTATGTCCTAAGTGCTGTTTTACATGTTAATTCCTTTTATCCTTACATCAGTCTCACTGTGTTGGGACTATTATTATGCGCATAAAGTAAAATGGGGCCTGACATTGTGGCTCATGCCTATAGTCCCAGCTACTTTGGAGGCTGAAGCAGGAGGATGGTTTGAGCCCAGGAGTTTGAGACCAGTCTGAGCAACGTAGCAAGACCCCATCTCTATAAAAAATAATTTAAAAAAATTATCTTAGAGAGGAAAGTGACTTCCCCAGGGTCTTATAACTCTCAGGGAGAACGCAAAGTTTTCTTGTTCCTAGGCCTGGTATTTGTCACCACTGTAGAAATTGGTGCCATTAGAGGTGACATATCTGTCTCGCAGCTTTTTTTTTTTTTTTTTTTTTTTGAGACAGAGTCTTGCTCTGTCATCCAGGCTAGAGTACAGTGGTGCCATCTCAACTCACTGCAACTTCTGCTTCCCAGGTTCAAGCGATTCTTCTGCCTCAGCCTCCTAAGTAGCTGGGATTACAGGCGCACGCCACCATGCCTGGCTAATTTTTGTATTTTCAGTACAGATGGGGTTTCACCATGTTGGCCAGGCTGGTCTCAAACTCCTGACCTCATGATCCACCCGCCTTGGCCTCCCAAAGTGCTGGGATTACAGGCATGATCCACCAAGCCCAGCTTCTTTTTTTCTTTTTTTTTTTTTTTCTGAGACGGAGTTTCGCTCTTGTTACCCAGGCTGGAGTGCAATGGCGCGATCTCGGCTCACCGCAACCTCCGCCTCCCGGGTTCAGGCAATTCTCCTGCCTCAGCCTCCTGAGTAGCTGGGATTACAGGCACGCGCCACCATGCCCAGCTAATTTTTTGTATTTTTAGTAGAGACGGGGTTTCACCATGTTGACCAGGATGGTCTCGATCTCTTGACCTCGTGATCCACCCGCCTCGGCCTCCCAAAGTGCTGGGATTACAGGCTTGAGCCACCGCGCCCGGCCCAAGCTTCTTTTTTTCTGAGACAGAATCTCTCTCTGTTGCCCTGGCTGGTGTGCAGTCGCACTTGCTCATTGCAGCCTCTGCCTCCCGGGTTCAAGAAATTCTTGTGCCTCAGCCCTGCAAGTAGTTGGGACTACAGGCATACACCACCAGGCCTGGCTAATTTTTTGTATTTTTAGTAGAGATGGGGTTTTGCTAAGTTGGCCAGGCTGGTCTCAAAACTCCTGACTTCAGGTAATCCGCCCATCTCAATTTTCCAAATGCTGGGACTGCAAGCGTGAGCCACCTTGTCCAGCCCTGTCTAGCCCCTTTAACTTTTCACAGGGGCTCACTCAAATCTATTCCCCCTCCATTCCCTGAATATGGCAGTGGGGCCAGTGGGGCTCATTCTTAAGGAAACCCACAGCTGTCCCAGAGCTAGGGGCCCTTTAGACCAGCAGTCCCCAACCTTTTTGGCACGAGGGACAATTTTTTACATGAATGGGTGTTTGGAGGGATGGTTTCGGGATGATTCAAGCACATCACACTTATTATGTACTTTATTTCTATTATGATTACTTACTCAGCATCATTCATAATCAGTGGGAGCCCTGAGCTTGTTTTCCTGCAACTAGACAGTCCCATCTGAGGGTGATGGGAGACAGTGACAGATCATCGGGCATTAGATTCTCATAAGGAACTTGCAACCCGGATCCCTCAAATGCATAGTTCACAATAGGGTTTGCGCTCCTAGGAAACTCTTATGCCCTGCTGATCTGACAGGAGGTGGAGCTCCTTGTGGCTCACAGGCCCTGCTAACCTCCTGCTGAGCAGCCAGGCCATGGATTGGTACTGGCAGCCAGGGGCTTGGAGACCCCTGTTTTAGATGCCTTGATGCCAATATAGCCGGGGGGGGGGGTGCAGTGATTGTCCATCAGTGCCTCATGGGCCAGAGAGGAGGTCAAAGGCCCTCACTGTGTGGGAGGATCCCTTGCCCAGGTATGTAGCAAAGCAGAGGCACAGCTGGGACCAGAACCCACTGGGCTTCCAGCTTTTTTTTTTTTTTTTTTTTGAGATGGAGTCTTGCTCTTGTTGTCCGGCTGGAGTGCCATGGCGCGATCTTGGCTCACTGCAACCTCCACCTCCCAGGTTCATGTGATTCTCCTGTGTCAATCTCCTGAGTAGCTGGGTTTACAGGTGCGTGCCACCACACGCAGCTAATTTTTTGTATTTTTAGTAGAGACAGGATTTCATTATGTTGGCCAGGCTGGTCTCAAACTCTTGACCTGGTGATCTGCCCACTTCAGCCTCCCAAAGTGCTAGGATTACAGGCATGAACCACCATGCCTGGCCTGGGCTTCCAGCCTTTAAGGCCAGCCAGGCCCCTCCAGCTTCTAGGAGAGCCCAGCCGTGCTCCCCTAAGGCAAATGGCAGTAGCTGTATAGGCTGGTCACCCCTCACCGTGGTTGCCTGACTCCTACAAGGCCCTTAGTGACAAAGAAGTGGCCCTGGGTCCAGATAAGAGCAGGACCCCCATCTTACAGCAGCTGTGAGAGGGTAAACTGGGGGATGACATCAAGCACAGCGTAGTGGCCACCACTCAGGACCCTCTTTCAAGAAGGGGCAGGAGGCTGGGCACAGTGGCTCACACTTGTAATCCCAGTATTTTAGGAGGCCAAGGTGAGAGGCTGACTTGAGGCCAGGAGTTCGAGACCAACCTAGCCTACATGGAGAAACTCAGTCTCTTTTTTTTTTTTAAAGACGGGGTTTCACCATGTTGGTCGGGCTGGTCTTGAACTCCTGACCTCAGGTGATCCTCCCGCCTTGGCCTCCAAAGTGCTTGAATTACAGGCGTGAGCCACCACGCCCAGCCGAAACTCAGTCTCTACTAAAAATACAAAAATTAGCTGGGCCTGGTGGCGGGCACCTTTAGTCCCAACTACTCGGGAGGCTGAGGCAGGAGAATCTCTTGAACTCCGGAGGGGGAGATTGCAGTGAGCCAAGATCAGGCAATTGCACTCCATCCTGGGACAGAGCAAGACTCCATCTCAAGGCATAAAAAAAGGGCAAGAGGCGTTTCAAGGCCTTTTGCCCAGTGCCTGGTGCGCCCTAAGCACTCAACAGTTCTTGAATGAGGAGCAGCCTCCCGGAGCCACCAGTGTGGAGAGAGAAGGCACCTGGAGGGAGCCCCAAGAGACTTGCAGGCGTCTTACAGCGCAGCACACGCCCCTTGGGACTCTGAGTCAGTGCCGGAGGCCTCGGACCCAGGGCGGGGAGGGGTTCCGGGGAAGGGAAGGATGCGGGTGGGGGCGGGGTGTGGACTCTGGGAGTGGAAGGGAAGGATGGGGGGGTTTGAGGGGGAAAGAACTCGGGGAGGAGCCCGGGCACAGGGAGGGAACTCGGAGATCCCTAGAGGCGAGGCACGCGGGGAGGGGCAATCGTAGTCTCCGGGAGGGCAGGGGGCGCGGCCATGGAGACAGACGCGGGAAGGGAGGACGCGGCTGGAGCAGGGGGGCAGCGGGAGGAGTAGGAGGGCGCGTGGCGCGGCTGACGTGGGCCGGGGTCGCGCAGCGGGCTGTGCGCAGCGGCGGCAGCACGCAGCGACAGAGTCCCCTGGCGAGGACGAGCGAGCGCGGCGCCCGCACCTCCTTGCACCGCTCGCGCTGCGCGCCCCGAGGAGCACCCGCCGCAGTTCCCGAGCTCAAGCCACATTCCCTCCGTGTCTGCCCCACTCTCCTCCCGCTCTGGGCCCCGCCATGGCCCAGGCAGTGTGGTCGCGCCTCGGCCGAATCCTCTGGCTCTCCTGCCTCCTGCCCTGGGCCCCGGCTGGGGTGGCCGCAGGTAAGGCGCTGGGTAGCCCGGCCTCCCCGCAGCGGCAGCCGCAGCCCGCCCAGGGCCTGGAACCGTCTTCACGGGTGGGTGGGCCTGGAGCGGGGATGGCCGAGGCGGCACCGTGCACCCTGCGCGCATCTCTCTCCTCGGCGGAGGCCTCTGTGGCACCCTCTCCTCTTCCTTTTACCCCTCTCCTCCAAAGTCACCTGGGCACTGGAGGGGGATCCCCGCACCCCCTGGATTCCTGCTTCCACCCCCCGGATTCCTGCTTCCACCCCCCCGGGCTGGCCCTACCTGGAAACCGCGTGGGAGTGACTGGTGCATCCCTCGAGGCCTGGGGACCATGCACCCTCTAAGGGAGGGGAGGATGAAGCCGGGAGACGGGGATGCGCCCGGGACTGTCATCGCGCCGTAATCCCCCACTCCCCAGAGAGCACGGGATGGGCAGCGTTTTTGCATTAAAATGTCGCCTTTTCTAGAGGGGTTTTCCACCCTGTTGGTGCTGGCTTTGTGGAGATGCGATTTTAGAGCCCAGGAGGCCAGGCTGCCATTTCCTCTCTGATGGCGATTTCCAAAATGGACCCGAAATCTGACAGGTTCCTGGGATGTGTGTGTGGAGGGGGGCATCGTGTGTCTACTGCCTCCACATCCCCACCACCAGAAGGCCAGCACCCACCTTCTGCCACATTTTGGGAAGCATAAAAGGACCCATATTGGGGACTGTCCCTGTCGAGGGACAGGTGGGATGTGGGCAGCTAAGGGGGTTGAATATTATCCAACATTTTCATACCCTCCCCCCTCACAAAAGAATCAGGGGCGGGGGTGGGGTGGGAGAGAAGTGGGGGATCTAATGAAAATTTGTGACAAGGTAAAAGAAAACCTGCAACTAAGGGATGAATGAGATGAATTTTATGGGAATTGTGTTTGGTCAAGATCACCTGTTTCCTCCTGGAAATATAGAAGACAGGTCTCTTGTTCATCAGGTTTATTTGTGTCCAGAGATTCTCAATGTGTCCTAAATTGAAAAAGAAAAAGAAAAAAAGAGAAAAGAACAACAGTGAATTAATTCTTTGGAAATCATGTGTGATTCCCATTCTAGCCAATCTCACTGTTGATATGGTCAAAATCACAGTGGCTAGGAGTGAGGCTGGGAAACATATCTTCTCCCTCACCCATGGGGGAGACCTTTCTACCCTTCCCCTTTCTGAGGTCTGCATGAACCAGGGATGTATAAGTCAGAAGTCCATGTACTGGACTATTAATTAATTCTGGGTTGTGTTATCGAGACTTTAGAAGTTCTCTTGGAAAGTGTTTTGGGTAGTCTGCGTGTTCTGTGAGAAAGGACTTGTATAGCCATTTTCTAGAATGTTCAGGGCCCCACATGCTATGTTGCTGGGAAAGGTGGGTGTTTCTTCCATGGGCCAAGCTTTGGGGTGGTTGCCCCTTCTCTTTTTGCTTTTGCCCCTTCAGCTCTGGGTGACTTGGGGGCCCATGGAGTCCCCTAAACCTCTGCCTTGGCTGCTCCATACCATTCCCAGCTAATGTTTTACTTTTTTTTTTTTTTTTTTTTGAGACAGTCTCACTCTGTCACCAGGCTGTAGTGCAGTGGCGCAATCTCAGCTCACTGCAACCTCCGCCTCCTGTGTTCAAGTGATTCTCCTGCCTCAGCTTCCTGAGAAGCTGGGATTACAGGCGTGTGCCACCATGCCCAGCTAAATGTCACTTGGATGCCCAAACCTGGAAAGATGATTTTTTTTTTTCTGAGATGGAGCCTTGCCCTGTTGCCCATGCTGGAGTACAGCAGCATGATTGCGGCTCACTGCAATGTCAGCCTTCCTGATTCAAGCAATTCTCCTGCCTCAGCCTCCTGAGTAGCTGGGATTACAGGTGTCCTCCACCATGGCCAGCTAATTTTTGTATTTTTAATAGAGACAGGATTTCACTATGTTGGCCAGGCTGGTCTCGAACCTCTGGCCTCAGGTGATCTGCCCTCCTCATCCTCCCAAAGTGCTGAGATTACAGGTGTGAGTCATCGCCTAGAAAGAAGAATTTGATGGGTAGAGCAGCAGGCCCTGTGATTGGTTCCTTCAGCCACATTTGGCAAAGGCTTCATAATCCATTTCTACCCCAGATGTCCTGGCCATCTCTGAGAGCCCTGAGGAAAAGAGGCAGCATCACCCAGGAGCTGTGACACACCTGATTTTGAAAAAAAAAAGACTGAGAAAAAGTGCCCTTGGAACCTCTTTTGGCTTGGCAGGTGCGGGGGGTGGGCTGCTGCCATGAGCTGGGCCAGTGTCTGCAGCAAAGCAGCAGACACAGCCCCTCCCTGCCTCCACCCATCCCCCCCTCCCAGTCCCAGCTGGCTGCCCTCCTGATCCATTACCCTGGCAACCGATCTGCGTGCTGACATGCGCCTGTTTCACTGCAGATGTGGTTTGGCCATTAGCATGCAGCCAAATGTCCCCACCACCTGCCAGCCTCACTTATGCCCACCCTCCTGGGGTGGGGTGGTGGGGAGGATGGGGAGGAGAGGAGAGTGCCAGGAGCCAGTGGGAGAAGGGAGGATGGGCCTCTCGTCTCTGCACCTCTCTGTGCACAACCTGGCCAAATGCTGCCTCCCAGCCAAAGTCGGGGGAGAGCAGAGCTCAGCCAGGGTGGTATAGACTGGCTAGGTGGCCTCAGGCAGCAGCAGTGGCCCATGTGGGCAGGGTCTCTCACTTTGTTGCCCAGGCTAAAGTACAGGGGCGCAATCATAGCTCACTGCAACCTTGAACTCCTGGGCTCGAGAGATCCTCCTGCCTCAGCCTTCCAAGTAGTTGGGGCAACAGGTGCATGCTACCATGCCCAGCTAATTTTTTGTATTTTTAGTAGAGACGGGGTTTCACCATGTTGACCAGGATGGTCTCGATCTCTTGACCTCGTGATCCACCCGCCTCGGCCTCCCACAGTGCTGGGATTACAGGCTTGAGCCACCGCGCCCGGCCCTACTTTTTAATTTTTTTTGAGACAGAGTCTCACTCTGTCACCAGGCTGGAGTGCAGTGGTGCGATCTCAGCTCACTGCAACCTCCGCCTCCCGGGTTCAAGTGATTCTCCTGCCTCAGCCTCCCTAGTAGCTGGAACTACAGTCACGTGCCACCATGCCCAGCTAATTTTTTTGTATTTTTAGTAGAGACAGGGTTTCACCATGTTAGCCAGGATAGTCTTGATCTCCTGACCTCATGATCCGCCCACCTCGGTCTTCCAAAGTGCTGGGATTACAGGCATAAGCCACTGCACAAAAAATTATTTTTTGTAGATACAGGGTAGTACTATGTTGCTCAGGCTGACCTTAAACTCCTGGGCTCAAGTGACCCTCTGGCCTCAAAGTACCTGGATTACAGGTGTGAGCGGACTGGTCCTGGCCTCAAATGCCTTTGTAATTTAAGAAATAGCCCTGAAAGCAAGGGAAATATGTAATGTGGGCCAAAGCAGTGAAGGCATGACGTGGGCCTGAGGAAAGGCTGGATCTGGAGTCCCTCGTAGGGACAGGTGATGTTGCTTCAAAGTGAATGAAATGAAGCTGAAAAAAATAATCTCAGAGTCACCTGGGCATTGGAGGGGGCTCCCCTCGCCCCCTCGATTCCTGCTTCTACCCCTGGGCTGGCCCTGCCCTGGAAACCACGAGAGAGTGGCTGGCACATCCGTAAGATGCCTGGGGACCACACACCCGATAAGGGAGGCAAGGGGAGGACGAGACAGGAAGGCGGGGATGCATCACGATGGGTCATTGGCCCACAACCCCCCCAGCTCAGGGAGCACGGGATGGGCAGCGTTTTCACCTTAAAATGTCACCTCATCTAAAGGGGTTTTCCACCCTGTTGGTGCTGGCTTTGGGGAGATGTGATTTTATCTTATTTATTTTATTTTGAGACAGAGTTTCACTCTTGTTGCCCAGGCTGGAGTGTAGTGGCACGATCTTGGCTCACGGCAACCCCCATCTCCTGGGTTCAAGTGATTATCCTGCCTCAGTCTCCTGAGCAGCTGGGATTACAGGTGCCTGCCACCACACCTGGCTAATTTTTGTGTTTTTAGTAGAGACAGGGTTTCACCATGTCGGTCAGGCTGGTCTCGAACTCCTGACCTCAGGCGATCCACCCACCTCAGCCTCCCCAAGTGCTGGGACCACAGGTGTGAGCCGACGTGCCTGTAAAACTGAGAGATGTGGCCAGGCGCGGTGGCTCACGCCTGTAATCCCAGCACTTTGGGAGGCCGAGGCGGGTGGATCACGAGGTCAAGAGATCGAGACCATCCTGGTCAACATGGTGAAACCCCGTCTCTACTAAAAATACAAAAAATTAGCTGGGCATGGTGGCGCGTGCCTATAATCCCAGCTACTCAGGAGGCTGAGGCAGGAGAATTGCCTGAACCCAGGAGGCGGAGGTTGCGGTGAGCCGAGATCGCGCCATTGCACTCCAGCCTGGGTAACAAGAGCGAAACTCCGTTT